GGATCCCTCCGGTGAAGGGCTGGGCAGGTTTTGCAGTGACTTACAGCAGCCTTTGTGTTACCAGCTGACGGGGGGAATCGGGTTCATCCACCACAACTGCACCCCGGAGTTCCAGGCCAATGAAGTGCGGAAGGTGAAGGTGGGTGGCTGGAATGGCAGTGCTGAACTGCACTCACAGGGTGCTTCGTGGAGGTGGGCAGTGGGGTCTGGCCCTGCTGAAGGGCTGTGAGAGAAGACTGTTAAAGTGTGCCGGTTCTTGGTGTTTCAGAACAGTAGCGCTGCTGTGGTTGCCCGCACAAACCTCTTGTGCAGTAGGTGCTGTCCCATGCACAGTCTGGGATTTGAGAACTGCCAGGTGCCCTGGTATGGGAATATTTCCCATAATTTCAGGAAGGAGGTTAGCCTGGGAACTTTGGGGAATCTAATGTTACTTGGGTGAGCCTTGGTGCTGGGTTGGGAGTCATCCTGTTCGTGAGCATGTGGCCAGGTTGGGAGGTTGCAGACCTTTGTTAGAAGCTGCAGTAACCAGCAGGCATGTGCCCCACTTCTGCTCGGTCTGGCAGTGCCGCTTAGCCTGGCTGCTGAATCTGCTTCTTTTCAGAAATACGAGCAAGGATTCATCACAGACCCTGTGGTGCTGAGCCCCAATGACCGAGTGCGAGATGTATTTGAAGCAAAAGCTCGTCACGGATTCTGTGGAATTCCCATCACGGACAATGGGAAGATGGGGGGAAAGCTGGTTGGCATCATTTCATCTCGAGATATTGATTTCCTGAAAGAGTCGGAGCATGACTTGCCGCTCGGCGAGGTGAGAAGGGCTTGTGAGAGGCTGATGGATGTGAGCGTTGCGTTAGGAAGCAGTGTGGCTTGTGATGAGGAGAAGGGTGAGCGCGTGGCTGTGAGGGTGCTGCGCCAGCAGGAGGTAGCAGCTTCATGTTAGCTCTGCGGGTCCATCTTCAACTGTATTTCTAGGGGAGAGCATCTTGTTCATTTACACTCTCTGTGCGACTCCTGCAGTGCAGATAAAAGAGAGTAGCTGTGCCATTAGCATTCGCATAACGACTCCTGTGAGGTTATCTTTCTTTTTTGTCGAAGCCATCCTCTCTACAGCTGGTGCTCTCACCTGGTTTGGTCACTAATTCCTGGTGTTCCTGGCTGCTGGCACTGGCCAGGGCTGTAGCAGCTGTGGTGTGCCCAGCAAGCCCTCTGAGTGGTGGTCTTCCTTTTCTGGACTGCCCTTCCCTGTGTGTCTCATCTAGGCCACTTGCTCTTTCAAATAACCCCCTGAACTTGGAGGCTGCCAGTTTAGCCTTTATAATGCTACACTGTCAAACTCCCCTCATACAGGAGAATGTTCTCTGCGATGCCAATGTCGATTCCTGTTAGTTCTGCCATTCCTGTTACACGAGCTGTGTAACTGTAGATCTGCGGTGCTGTCAAATTACACTACCAGTGCCTCAGCCAGTCTCTGCTCTTGACTCATGACTATTTTTAGCTCTTGCTGACCAAACCTGGTGTCACATGCTTATTCCTGTTTGGTTTGAAATCGCCTATAAATACCTGTAACAAGAATCTTAAACCAGGAGTGGGTTATAAAAGTGCACATGGCCCTTTGAAGTGATGCTGGCCCATTCAGAGGAGCCAGATAAGAATCTCCTTTCATCCTTTACGTGGATCTTTCAGCGCTGCAAAGTTGGAAGCTGGCTGCATTTGGTGCTTGCCTCTGTCACTACGCAAGGCTAGGGAAATAAATGGTCTCATAGATCTCTCCCCACTAGCCGTCCAGCAGTCATCTTGCTGAACCATTCATTGCCATCCAGTTAAACACACAGGTGTCCTGTAGCTCAGGAAGCTCACGGATCCCAGAGACTTAGGGAGTGTGTTGGGATGTGCCTGTGATTCCTCAGGCTTTTCCTGACATGTGGGTTCTGTCACAGACAGGATTTTGGGTCGATGGAGGTGGGGTGAACCTCTTTCCTGATGGAAAATGTCTGTTCTTATGGTTAAAACATTCCCTCTTTTCTTTGTTGTGTGCAACTAATCTACCTTCCTTGAGGGTTAGTGTTCCCTTTTAGCTTTGCCTGGCCTTCTCGAGTAACCTTTTATGAAAACGTCCCATGTGAAGTTTGTGATCACAGAATGCTGCGGGTGGGAAGAGACCTCGAGCTCTCTTGTCAAGCCCTCTGCTTGAGGTGCTTTCAGCTGGAGCAGGTTGCGTGGGGCTGTGTCTGTGTCTCCAAGGATGAAGAGATTTTGCTGCCTCTGGGCTGTTATTCCAGTGTTTGACCACTGACATTGGTGAAGCTTTTTTCTGTATATGATGTCAGATGTTCCTGTGTTCCAGCTTGTGTCCATTGCCCCTTGCCTTTCCACTGTGTTTTGGTGCTTGTTTGGCCAGAGTGAGCATGTTTCACACAGAATAGTACTAGTGATTCTGTGAATCATTAAGGTTAGAAAAGATCTTTAAGATCACCAAGTCCAACCATCAACCCAACACCACCATGCACACGAAACCATATCTTGAAGCGCCACGTCTACACTTTTTTTGAACGCTTCCAGCAATGGTGACTCCACCACCTCCCTGGGCAGCCTGTTTCAATGCTTGACCACCCTCTCAGTAAAGAAATTTTTCCTAATGTCGAGTCTAAACCTCCCTTAGCACAACTTGAGGCCGTTTCCTCTTGTTCTATTGTTAGTTACCTGGGAGAAGAGACCAACACCCACCTCACCACAACCCC